AGAAGGGAGAGCTGCAGGTGTTCCGGGACGACGGCTCTCGAGAACATCCGTTGCATATCGTTACAATAGGCGGACACCGTTTCGCGGCCTTGACGAAACTTCCGTAGCTTCGCTTGACTGAAAGCGTTTCCGCGATATATGTCGAAGCGATCGACTATTTGTTTCGAACACTCGGCCCACGACATGGTGTTTACGTGAGGCGTTATCGTTCGTGCGAACCACTCGACGGCGTCGCCAGACAAGTGTCTCGGAAGGGCGAAAATGCGTTCGCGATCGGTATAGTCGATGGTTACGGTCTCGTAGACGAGTATCCAGTCGTCAATGTTCACGTCGTTAGCGGTGCCGCCGTAGTTGTCGCAGAGTTTGTGCGAAGTCTTGCGCGACGAGGACTGCGATTGAGTGGCGGCCACAGGCGGCTGCGGTTGAACATTAAGATTAGGCGACGCTTGAGCGCCGACGGGTGGGGCCGATGAGGGACCCGATTGTGTACTGTTAACAGACGGTAGCGGCGGAGGCGCCACTTGATTAGCCGTGACAGGCGGTGCTGTCTGTGCGGTGCCGGCCGTGAAGTCATACCTTATGGCGCCTGAACTCGTAGTAGACGTGCGAACTGTCGCTCTTGGTGTCGATGGCGGGGCCATTGAGTTTGTCACCGGCGGGGCCGTGACGTTGACACTAGCCGTGCCCAGCGCTCGGGGAGCGAGAAGGGCTAGTCTGGCGGCTAAAGCGATCAAATCGTTGTCATCGATAGTGGCGGCCAATGAGGGCTGAGTGGCGGCACTCGTGCTGGCGGTTAATATCGAAGGGGTGGCGGCTCTGGCCTGCGATCTAGTGTTGACTCCAGTGTTGGCGACTCTGGGAGACGCGGCGACTCTGGGAGCCCGTAGTCCGGCCGCAACACGAGGTAACCCACCTCTTCGTGAAGGCATTTCGTATGAAAACACGTGTTTTTCGTACTAATGAGCGATTGATTCGTGATTCTCAGCGATTGCGCCAATTGTTAACCGGATTATCGTTAATAAACTCGAAACACGTTATTCTCGGAAATAAATCGTAATTTTAATATCGAAATAACTCGAAAAATACACGTATAGTCGAAAGGAAACGATAAACGATTAAACATACGATACGCTCGCGAAGGGAGCGGAAAAGGTTATGAGAGAGAGAGAGGGAAAGAGTGATAGAGAGCGAGAAAAGTGAGAGAAGGCATGCGTCCGGTGGTGTCGTCCATAGAGGACGTCCTCACACAATTATAACGGGAATCAATTGCGAGCCCACCGAACACAGGCGGCCAATCGGGTAAATCACCGATTTTTGTGTGGCCACAGTTGGGGTAGCGGTCAGTGTTGGCCAATGAATAGCATATCGTTCTATGCATTGAATAATAAAGGTCTCAGAAGAGGAAGGGTTTTGAATGATCACTATTAGTATTTGAGCATGATCAATTTAACTGTGATTTCAACCATCGGTAAATACAAAACCGGACCCCTTCCCATAGAAATACATTAATATGAGTACAAATGTCGTACAAATAAAAAGTTACAAAAGTTTTATAAGAATCAATAGACGTATATCGGATTCATAACAATATAAATAAATACATAATTTATTCTAACAAGAAAATTCTGAAAAAAATATTACATAAAAACATTGAAACATAATTTGATCGATGCGCGTGAAAAACCACATATTTTCCACGCGCACTAAATCATTTGGTTTGTGGTATAAAAGCACGAATTTTTATCAGATTTAATAATAGTTTTAATAATACTTATATACATAACAGTTGTAGGATCTTACATAACAGTTATTATATCTATTTGAAAGTATTTCAATTATCTAAGACTACAAAATGAATGTCAGTAAAAGTGTTATACTTATCACACTATTGGTTTTATTAGCCCTACTATGCCATACAGAGTTGGCCAGTGGTCAGTCCGTTGAGCTCCGTAGGGCTAAGCGTGGCTTTGGCTGTAAAGGACCCTTTGGTTCGAACCGTAATGAGTGCGATCGCCACTGCAAGGATAATAAGGTAATTATTTTTGAATTAATGCTTATTAACTAATTATAAGTATTTATAATTTATATTTTAATAATTATAGTATTGTGACATCAAAACTGGTGATTTCCGTTGCAACTGCTATAGTTAAGTACCACACAACTACCTGGATGCAAATTTAGTTTTATTAGAAATGTTTGCTGAAAACTATTTAATTTGTAAACATTATTAATTATACAATAGAATAATTATAAGATATAGCATCCAGAAAGAATCGCTGTTTTAGCTATTAATTTTATCATGTCTAAATGTAGTAATATACTGTATGTAGTAATAGAAATGCATTAAAAAATAATAAAAATATTAAATCATCATATTTGTTTGTTTATTTCTGGGCAAAAGTACAGTATTTTAAAATAATTTTTTATAATTTCAATATTTATAATTAATAATTATATTTATGAGACGCAACTTTATATATTTTTAGAATTATAATAATATTGTAATTATAAAAAATAAAATCTATTCAATTAAAAATTATTGTACGGTATATCTATTATCGCACAATTCTACAATATTTTAGGCTAATCCATGTTTTGTAAATTATTTATTATAAGAACATTGAACAATACTATTTATATAAACTATTTATAATTACAATAAGAATTTAATTTATTAATAAAATTGTAAACATTTAATTTATAAACATTAGATAATATAATTGTTAAATAATTTTTTGTCACAAAATTGTATTTGTTAAAAAAAATTAAATAAAAAATCATTTTACCGTAGTACGATATAAAATTTTAGGATGAATGTCAAATATGTGGTTTTATTTTATTAGTTAAATATGTACATAATTAATTAATTACTAATTAATAAAAACATATTATAAGGATATGTCAAACAAACAAATAAAAGAAATGACTAAAAAATGTTCACAAAAAGCTATAAGAAACTGAAAGAGCAAATAAATTAAATATTTACAGAATTTTTACGGTAATAATATTTAGGGACTAAATAACAGTTTTCAATGGCTTTAATAGTCTTCAGTTTAGGAGTTTTGGACAATAGATATTCATAATCAGTATCCTTCAGAGCAGTGTCTGCATTGTGTTCAATGACAAGCGTTTGCAGCGCCGGTAGTCTTGAGAGGTGTGACAAACACTCGGTGTCTATAATGTTATTAAAGTCATGAATCAATAGATAGTGAAATCGTGGACAGTATTGATGCAAATCTGTCATCACTTTTGGTGTCATTTTCTTTAACTTCAACCCTAATTGCGTTAATCTCTTGCAGTGTCTCAACGGTTCCAACAACTGGTCATCGATGGCCGCATTGATCTCTAAACGCAACCATTTTAAACGGCGAAACACTATCAATGAATCCAATGATAATACATGAAGAGAGGGTGGGATAGAAAATGCGGACAAATTAAGTGACAATCGTTTCAATTGTTTGCAATTCACGCCAATTATGCGCAAAGAGTCGGTCACCACCGCTGGGTTCTGGCCGTCCATTGACTGCAGCGTTAACTCGAGTGTCAATTGCCGTAATTGCGATAAACGTGACAATTGTCGGTACATTTCGCGCACCGATTCTTCATCCCTAAAATGACAGGACTTTACGGTCAGACTCTCGATGGACTGATTCGCGGACACGAATGGAGGCCATCGGTGGGAATCGCCATACGATTGCGATATTAACTCAAATTTGCGTATATTTTTGACAAACAATGTGTCGTAAAGTATGTAAAAGATGTCATTAAACGAATGGATCTTTAATTGTGACAATCGGTGGCAATGAGTGACCGCTTTGCTGTCTTTATACGAGTTTATGGCATCGATTCGTGTGACCAGTGGTCCAAATGTAGCCATCATTTGACGGCTATTCGCATCCAAATTGCAATAAATGTCCCGTAAATGACGGCAATAGGCTCTCAATATACCCAACACTTCGGGAACGCGTTTCTCGTAGTCTTTGGTTATTCCTCGACAGTCTATGGTCTGAATATTCAGACACTTTATGGCAAATGTGGCCAACATTTCGGTATCACTTCTCTTCTCTTTCAGTAATCGCTGTATAAATCGGTCGCTAAGAGTGATGTCCACAACACTCTCGAAGACTGTCCTCCGAAACTGTTTGGACACACATTCGCATTGAAACCGATCTTCGGGTGAGAGATAAGACACTAATAGTTGACACAAATCATCACCGAATCTGTCCATTGAGTTCTTGGCGTAAATCTGCGGCTAAAATGAGCCAAAAATACAATTACTTCAACATTAAATTGTTTATGAAATACCTGTCGAATGTCTTCGACAACATCTTCGCCGTCATCTGTGTTCACGAGTTCTGTCTTCAAGTGTTTCACTTCTTGTGCCATATCTTGGGATCAGATGAAGTGATGGATAAATAATTGTGTTTATGTTATGAAATGCCAAAACATGTGTTACTCTTTGTGTTTACAATTGATTTGTATTTCTGTGTAATATTTGGTACTATTTGTTACAAAACCTAATGATATATAGCTATAGAATGGGACCAATACTGCGACCAATACTATATATTATAGTCATAGAGAAAACACTACATAAAGTATAACTTTTTTTGTAAAACTTTTTGCCCAAACAGTAAACAAGTGTTCAAACATTTAATTAAATTTTATATTAATATGATTTATATTATATTAATTAAACAATGAGATAAAATGCTTACTTAATATAGAAATATAATGATATTTTTATTAAACATAATTATAAACAATTAAATACAGAAAACAATTTAATATTGATGCAATATGGTACAATAACAAGTTTTAGACATAATTAACTAAATTAATTAAATAAATAATTCAATTAGACATAACATAATAAAAATAGACTTATTAAAATTGTTTTAATTAATAGTTTTATTAATTATTTAACTAATATCGAAACCTTCAAAACGAATGTCAGTAAAAGTGTAACATTTGTTGTACTACTGGTTGTATTAGCCCTTCTATGCCATATAGAGTCGGCCAGCGGTGAGACCGTTGAGCCAATCTGTATTTTGGGTCAATCCATGTTTTTAATAAATCATTCAAAACTATTTATAAAATCATTTTAGTATAAAATTTTCAAATGAATGTCAAATAATCTTATTTTATTTCTTTGATTAAATATTTACAATAATTACTGATTACCGATAATAAAAACATATTGGTATAAAAATAAGTTAAACAAATAAATAAAAATGACTAAATAATGTTCACAAAAAGCAATTAGACATTGAAATACCAAAAAATATTAAACATTTACAGCATTTTTACGGCAATAATATTTTGGGACTAAACAACAGTTTTCAATGGCTTTAATAGTCTTCAGTTTAGGAGTTGTAGACAATAGATCTTCAAAATCACTATTTGTCAGACTATTGCTGGGATTGTGTTCAATGACAAGCGTTTGCAGCGCTGGTAGTCGTGAGATGTGAGACAAACACTCGGTGTCTATAATGTTATTAAAATCATGAATCAATAGATAGTGAAGTCGTGGACAGTATTGATGCAAATCTGTCACCACTTTTGGTGTCATTTTTCTTAACTTCAACTCCAATTGCGTTAATCGCTTGCAGTGTCTCAACGGTTCCAAAAAGTGGTCATCGATGGCCGCATAGATCTCTAAACGCAACCATTTTAAACGGCGAAAAACAATTAATGAATCCAATGATAATACGTGAAGAGAGGGTGGGATAGAAAATGCGGACAACTTGAGTGCCAATCGTTTCAATTGTTTGCAATTCACGCCAATTATGCGCAAAGAGTCGGTCAACACCGCTGGGTTCTGGCCGTCCCTATAGCCCAGCCTTAACTCAAGTGTCAGTTCCCGTAATTGCGTTAATCGTGACAATTGTCGGTACATTTCGCGCACCGATTCTTCATCTTCAAAATAACTGGACTCTACGGTCAGACTCTCGATGGACTGATTCGCGGCCACGAATGGAGACAATAGGCGGTAATCCAAATACATTTGTGATATTAACTCAAATTTGCGTATATTTTTGACACACGATATGTTGTAAAGCGTGTCAAAGATGCCATGAAACGAATGGATCTTTAATTGTGACAATCGGTGACAATGAGTGAGCGCTTTGCTGTCTCCATCGCAGTGTATGTCATCGATTCGTGTGACCAGTGGTCCGAATGTGGCCATCATTTGACGGCTATTCGCACCAAAATTGCAACTAATGTCTCGTAAACGACGGCAATAGTCTCTTAATATACCCAACACTTCGGGAACGCGTTTCTCGTAGTCTTTGGTTATTCCTCGGCAGTCAATGGTCTGAATATTCGGACACTTTATGGCAAATGTGGCCAACATTTGAACGACACTTCTCTTCTCATTAAGTAATCGCTGTATAAATCTGTCGCTAAGAGTGATGTCCACAACACTCACGAAGACTGTCCTCTGGAACTGTTTGGACACACATTCGCATTGAAACCGGTCTTCGAGTGGGAGATAAGACAGTAATACTTCATACAAGTCATCACCGAATCTGTCCATTGAGTTCTTGGCGTAAATCTGCGGCTAAAATGAGCCAAAAATACAATTAATTCAATAAACATTAAATTGTTTCTAAAATACCTGTCGTCTGATGTCTTCATTGCTGTCATCTGTGGTCTTGAGTTCTGTCTTCAAGTGTTTCACTTCGTGTGCCATATCTTGGGATCAAATGAAGTGATGGATAAATAATTGTGTTTTTGTTATGAAATGCCAAAACATGTGTTATTAATAGCTCTTTGTGTTTACAATTGATATGTATTTCTGTGTAATATTTGGTACTATTTGTTACAAAACCTATTGCTATACAATGAGACCAATACTGCGGCTAATGCTATACAGTACTGTATAGTTATAGAGAAAACACTACATAAAGTATAACTTTTTTGTGTAAAACTTTTTGCCCAAACATTAAACAAGTGTTCAAACATTTAATTAAATCTTATATTAATATGATTTATATTATAATAATTAAACAATTAGATTAAATGCTTACTTAATAGTATAGAAATATAATAATATTTTTATTAAACATGATTATAAACAATAAAATACAGAAAACAATTTAAAATTGATTCAATAGGATACAATAACAAGTTTTTAGATATAATTATATTAATTAATTAAATAAATAATTAAGTTAGACATAGCATAATTAAAATAGCCTAATTAAAATTGTTTTAATTAATAGTTTTATTAATTATTTAACTAATATCAAAACCTTCAAAATGAATGCCAGTAAAAGTGTAACATTTATTGTACTATTGGTTGTATTAGCCCTACTATGCCGTACAGATTCGGCCAGTGGTCAGTCGGTTGAGCTCCAGAGGGCTAAACGTGGCTTTGGCTGTAAAGGAAGGTTTAGCCGCCGCACAAATAGATATGAGTGCAATGCCCACTGCAAAAATAACAAGGTAATTATTTTTAAATAATTTTTGTTAATAAATTGTTTATAACTATTAATTTTAACAATTCTAGTTTAGAGGCGGTTATTGTGACATGTGGGGATTCCGTTGCAAATGTTATGGCCGCTAACCATACATTACATTTACAATAGCTGTAATTGTACTGTATATTGTAGTAGTGATCCAAATGACACAATTTAGAAATATTTTTAAAATATAATAATTATTTATTATTATTAATAATTTATTATAATTATAAGAGTGTTATTTTAAGTATAAGTACAGATACTGTAAATTAGTTAATCTTGATATGTAATGCACATGTACCGTGTAATTATTAAACATTTTAAATATTGAATTGGATTTTTTACTATGCTATTATTTTTTAAAATAAATTTTTAATTATTTCAAAATCAACTAGTTTATTTAAATATTTAAATTGTAAAAATATATAGTATTATTAATAATTAAAATTAAGTTATAAGGAAAATAAATAATTATTTGAACAGATGTTTTTAATTATCAATTTTTAATCACATTCCTATAAAAAATAATTTTATAGAAAATACAAATTAAATGAAACACAATTCCATTATACCGAGTAAAAATAACCATTATAATTTAAATTATATTTCTCAGAATTGTTTACTTGTGCATATTTATTAATTAAATATCTTATGGGAATTCAATACAGAAATACAAGTTTAGAATAATATAAGAAACTCAAATAAAAGTGCGCCCAAAGAGTGCTCGGTTGAGATCACTTGGAATATCTCAAGTAGATTAACCAAAAATGCGCTTCATGCAATTCTTGGGTTTGACGCAAATGTTACCATAACGCTCTTTGAGCACATAACCATGGTGGCATTTACAACCGGGCACACACGAACCAAAGCAAAAACCTGGATTCTTGAAACATGTCTCGGGACAAGCGCTGGTGCAAGAATGATAACGTCCATTAACACACCCTGTACATTTTTAACATAAGTGAATTAATTTGTTTAACAATTATCAATTAAGTAGAACATTAACTTACGTTCGGCTGCTTGCGAGATGCTAGCAATAGAGACCACAAACAACAAGGTTACAATTATAAACCGCATAATTACACAATGTAAATTATTTACGTTATAATAATGTTTAATTCTAATGTTAAAATTATTTTGTTCATTTCCAAGAATATGCTCATCTTTTTATACTTTGTAGATCAATGTTAAGTGTTTTACAGACATGTATTTAATCACGTATCTCACCAAGGAGGAACAGGATATTAAAATTAACTCTTATTTGTTTTATATTTGTTTTTTACATAATATCAATAAATATATTTTTAATTTGTTAAATAGGAAACTAAAATTTATAAATTAAAATAATTGTAGGTAATTTTTTAAACGTTAATAAATATTTATAATTTCACAATATACTGTATAAAGTTGGTTTACAATCCGATTTCCTATAGAGTGGTGCCAATAATAACTTTAATTTCTAATTTATTAATTTAATTACAGATTATATAATTTTTTTAAAATTATTTCACTAAAACATCACTCGGACTATAAATTTAATGATTTAATACTAATTAAAAGAATGTTTACAAAACATATTTTAATGTATTTGACTAATTTTGATTTTTTAATTAATTGTACATTAAGTAACATTATAAAATTTGGTTTATGGTTACAAAAAAAATAATTTATATTGATAAATTTTTATTTTTAAGTAATTTAAACCATTGTATAAGAATTACGCGTTTATAAATTTAGATGTATATGGTAAAAGCCATTTAATTAATGAATATAAAGCTATGGGAATATCGGGTAGCGATATAATGGATACCCCGATCCACATACCAATCGTACCCCCGATGTTATAAATAGCATCGTTTACATCCATAGCCAATTCTTCGGTAATTATGTGCTCAGTATAATAGTTAGGTATTAAATTGATCATAGTATATGATAGGTTAGATTTGACCATGGTCTTTGTAGCTTGTATTGGAGTATATAGACAGGGCTCCACCCATTGTATTGACGTACAGTAGTTATATATGCGGTTATATAAAGTGTAGTTAGGCTTAAGTGTGGTGTCAGTGCATAACCGGCGCCCATAACCCATAATATCACGATTGATACCCACTATATATGAATAGAAAGGGGGATAACAGCCGATGGCTTTATACAGGTTATCGCTAACACATTGATAAGCCTCAGGAATATACCATTGGAGAGATGGCCACCCATTCACGTCACAGGACTGTCCACTGGTGTGACAGTTAAATGTGTTTCGCCGCAGCCGTCGGTGCGTTCGCATTGTGTACTTAATGTTAGTCTCGGCGCCGACATCTGTGCCAATCCAATAGGTGTGATAATAAGTGACCAAAACTGTGTTCAGCACTTGTATGTAATCGTTGGGCAACTTTATGGCCACACGTTTTAGCAATATTTCGCCGGCTGTCAAACGGGACAACTGTTGCCCTAATCGAGGCTCCGGGTGTCCGCAGAATTGATACATAAGTCGATTGCCAAACACATAAGCGTTGAAAAATATATATGGTTTGACTGCCGGACAGGCAATGCGTTGATTGTTATTAAACTCATAATAACACTCAATTAAAGCCGATGTATTGTCCCATTGGTTGGACATAAGAATAGACATAAATGTGGATACAATGCTAGTTTTGGTTCTATCATGATCGTATATATTGTTTTTCATAGACACATAAAAACAGGGCACTCGTACCCCTATATTGATTTTAATACTGACCTTAATGTTAGACTCCATGTAATCATTGTATATGTCTTTGATTTGTAATGACATGAAACCAATGCACACAACGAGTGAAAGCCATTGAATGTATTTTAAGTGTCGTTTAATCTTAATGTTTGATATGAATCGGGTTTTCATTACAATTCGTCGCCAAAAGTGCACACATTTTGTAAACACATATCCAATAAATGAATGGACACTCAAACCGGTATACATTCCCATTAGACCCCCGATTGAGGACAGGTATGCAATTGTGTCTGTTTTAGGATTTAATTTCCAATTCATTGTTAACTCCTTATTATATCGGAAAGCAATTTGAAAATAATTCATGTTTTTAACATAGCTTTCAATAAGCGAAACATCGGTTATATAGTTATGACAATCGACTCGACATTTACTATAAAGGAGACGATAGTCGGGCGAAACAAAACATTGGGAACCATTAATACTAGTAATATCTAAAAGACTTGTGTTTGACATTAAATGGTAATTCCAGTACAGATTATGACCACATTTGCTCAGCTCTAGTCGTCTCATCACATTCACCATACATTTGGTCCGGGAATCCGGTTCTCCACCGCTTTGCCCATCACTGGCCCCGTAATCATAGCACCGGCTCTTATAGGGCGGAGGTAGCAATGTTTGGAGGTTAGCATCAATAATGATCACATGTCGGTTGCTTTGGCTCCAAATGGTGTTCATTTTGGAAAAGTGAGATAGCTCACTTGATGCAGTAATTGTGTACTGAGCATTAGATATATTAAACAACCTTAACTTAAGTGATATGATGTTAGTTTTATTGGTACGCCCGTAGAGTTGAGTTACACATACGCTTGTGTTGGCCCGGTATCTGACGTATGCAGGAAATAGTTGATGGCATGAACTAAACCCATTCATATCAGCGTAACCTAATTCACACTGTAGTCTATGAGATGACCACGTTTTAAATGTTTCATTATTGTTGTGTATATGAAAGCATGTGGTAATCGACGGCCGAAATGCCGCCGATTGTAGTCTTTTTTGGTCAAATTCTAAATCATTTATTACATTGTATTGTAAATAATTGACGGTTTGGTCGCATATTTGGTACATGAATAGCACTAAAATTGTGTTTTTTATTAAACGCCGCGAAAAGTAGCGAAAGAGTAGTTTTATAAACATTTTTTAATTAGATTTAAATTATTATATGTATAGTCCGAGCGATGTTTTAGTAAAATAATATAAATATATTAAATAACTTAAATAATCTGTTGGATTGAATCAAATCAATATAATGAATAGTAGTCTTACAAGTCCTATAGTACTGTATGCAGTAAAATATATTTATTTAATTATTATTATATTATCTTTATATTATTAATAATTTATTAGATGATACAAATATATTAATGCAATTATTTATTAATTTTAATTATACTATTATTACCATCATGTTGTAACTTGACATTAATACCATGATGTTGTTGGCACTGCCAGACAACTATAAATGTCATTTTTATTACAAAAAAGTGACGTACAACAAAATTAGATTTAGTATATTTTATTATATTATAAATAAATTGATTGTTGCCTAAAATCCGGAAGCGTAATAAAATCATCTGGTTAGTCTAAAAGTGACGGATTTTTCAACCAATGTTTATTTTAGTTTTGTTGTTATTTAATATTTTAACAAATTTTATAATATAGTAAATAAATGGAAAATTAAAGTTTACTGCTATAAATTATTTTTTGTAATTTTAGACCAAATTTTCTAAAATTAATTAATGTACAATTAATTGCTAAATGCTAATTAAACAATTACAATAAACTATCTGTTTAGAAAACATTGACAATCGGGATAACGCACAGAGGGTTATGGAAAAGGGATTTGGGATTAGACTTAATCCGCACACCGTTTCAGAGCAGGAATTGCTTAACTCTATGGGAACGTTCACATATTACGTTCGCACTTTTTAAGAAATCTAGACCCCCTCCCCCCTATGTTCGCACTTTGTTCGCATGTAGTCATTTTTAAAAATAACGTTCGCATGTGTCTAACACCCCC